TAAAAGAGGAGCGGTGGGAAGGAGTGAGTGACAATTATAAAAGTTACATTTTTGTTACCTGCATCATTTAACATTAAATACCTCCAGCTTGTATAGCTGGAGGTATTTAATGCATAAATAGCTATTTATGCATTAAATTAGCATAAATAGCTTTTACAAAGGTGATTCTTATCACACTTATCGTGCTGTCTCCATTTCTTACTCTTTGGTGGCCCCTTGCGCTTCTTGCCACCATCAGACTTGGACTTCTTTTTGCCACTGATGAAATCCTCATATGAATTTTCCACACTCAGACCAGCTGCACTCCCTGCTTCAGCACCGTCAGGCCTGGGAGGTGACACAGGACAGATGTTCATAGAGGAACAGGCGTTTGTCAGGCAGAAACTGTACAGTTTAATTCCTGGACTTACACAGTGAGTGACTGTGGATTATATTGGTATTCATCCCCTGGGTCTGTAGGTGGATGGACCTCTGCCTCTGGAGCAGCTGTTCCGTTGCTGTCAAACTGTCTGTCCAGATTATCTTGACTAGAGTTATCGCTGTTTCCCCACTCAGACACCGGCGTCTCTGGAGATCGTGTGAGTGAACCAAAATCGTCAAATTCCGTTGTGTCTGTCTCTGAAAACTCAACTGGACCAGAGAACTCTGCAAATGAAGAGAAACATCATGAAACTGGTGTAAAAAAAAAAACCCCAAAACCCGTTTGTGGCTCTGGTTGTACAACATCGTCTGTGAAACTATCTCACCATGACCTTCCACAAGAGAGGGAGGGGTGAAGTCATTCAGGTTGACCAAGGGAGGTCGAGCGGGTTTCTCTGGAGCTGGACCCAGAGACTGCGGGTCAGGGAGGGCTTTTCTTGGTGGAGGAGGAGGAACCACTAAAAGCTCAGGGACAGATGCAGAGCCGTTCTCAGTGTTGACCTCCAACTCAGGAGAGTGCTGACCTGCAAATGGTAACACAAAGACTTAACATCCAAGCAAACCCATGACTGTATGTTAGTGTTAGACTGGCAAGTGACAGGAAGTGCAACACCGCAAAATGTAAACAACAAAATAGATTTTAACACAGAGAAGCTGTTAGATTAGATTAGACCACAGAGAACATAAAAAAGGCTGAATGAAAAGGAAACCAGAGCACAAAAGTAAACTGTCAACTGGTCGGTATATGATCATGTGACACAAGAGTCAAGATAATACAGTTAGTGTAAGTGACAATAACAGGATAGTGTGAAGAGTCAGGCTGAAGCCCAACAAACGTATTAGATATTGTTGTACTTCTTCAAAAACATAATAAATAACATATGCAGCTACAGGCCTGAAACCAGAAGATCCAGAGAGTGGTTCAACAGATCAACATTCACACATCATCCTGTGCCTCTTGGCAGCCAATGAAGACATGATAATGAAAGATGTAGCTTATGGTGACGTAGCTTTTTACAGCTCTCTGTGTAGCACCAGTATGAACAACACTGAAGTACAACAACACTAAGGAAAGGAAAGCAAAGTGAACTACTTGTCATTGTGACACAGCACACCACTGCACACAACAAAATGTGACCTCTGCTTTTTACCCATCACCAGGGGGCAGCAGGGGGCAGCCTTAAACGCCCGGGGAGCAGTGACTGACCAGAGCACCAAGCACAGTGAACAGAGAAGAGCATCTAGACCATAGACAGAAATATCCACAAAAACAGTTCAGCCCGGACACTTCTGTCCACGATGCTCCACTGTGGACTCAATGTTTCGTCACCAATTCCCTCTTATCTCTTTGATCGTTTTTGTTTGGAGTCACGGCTTCAGTAATTTTAGGCTCTTTATTTTATCTACCACCAATTTATTGCCAAGGTAGATTTTGGAGAAAAAAAAGGCTTTTCCTCCACGTAACTCTAGAGGGAGCATTACTACAATCAATGGTACACTTCTCATAGGTTAAAGACCACTACATCAGGCTAGTGCTTGACTACCTGGGTATATGATCCATCTCAACCATATCTGGTTTCTGAGGTCATATGATTGACAAAAACAACATTATTCTATAACGTGTTAAGTGGAGATAATAACCTGTAATTAATATGTTATAGAAGTTAATGATTAATAAAGATGTTCGTGCCTCACTCTACTCCTCCCGCGGTGGTAAAGATATTTTTTTTTAAAACAAGAACTCGTTTAAATGTTAAAGGAAATTGTGTAACTGCAATAAGAATGAGCCAATGTCAGAGAACGTGAGAAAACAGAGTCTAATTAAGAATAATTAATTATTACACAATTAAGTGTTTTAAACTAGATGAAGTCGATGTCAACACAACAGCAGACTCGTCCCGTTTCCTCTTTCAAGTGTTTATCACTGTCTCTTTGTGCCGCAGTGACAGACAGCCTCATGTCATCGCTCCTCCTCCGGGTCATTTCTGACATACTTTTGTAAATGTGCCCTGCCAACTGTGAAGGTGTTTCTGGCACAAAGGTGGAATGCCAGGACTGTTCTGAATGTGTTTGTGTCTGTGTGGCCATCTTTAAAGACTCTTCTCTTCTCAGCCCAGAGGCAACTCTGCAGCAAGAAGCACACCAGGTGTTTGAACGCTGTTCTACCACCATCACATACATACCTGGCCTGCTGGCGATGGGAGTTATTCCTATGTGGAGCATTTTTAAGTGAAGTAAACAGTAAGAGAAAATCCAAACAGACAGAAAACCCACTGCAAGGGAAAAATTGGGAAAAGCTTTCAGGAGTGAAGAAGAACTCTTCTGTGACTGACTTACTGTGATCAATACCATTGAATTGACTTGGTTTCTGTTGGAAGGCATTCCCCTCATAGTCAATGGGTGGGAGTGTTAGCTGAGAAAGGGTGGGGCTCTCAGTAGGGGGCGTATCCACGGGGGGCGGGGTGACTGAGTACGGTCTGCTGTAGTTTGACTGTGAGCTTAAAAAAAAAAAGTTTCAAATTTTAAACCTCAACAACTTGAAGAATTGAAGACTGACATTTAAATGATTTACCTGGTGGGTTTCTTACGAGCCTTTTGTAGGGCGTTGATAATTCTCTGGTCAGTGGTAATCCGTTTCCCTGGGTTCATGTCCCCTGCTCTCTCCAAGGCTGAGAGTGCCGACATTGGACGCTCCATTATGGGGGACGGATGTCTCAGGGGTGACTCAGTGGGTGGAGGGACGGGTGACTCCACCGAGGCAGAAATGGCTGCCTCAGTACAAGCGTCAGCTAGCATCTCATGTTGTTGGGAGGTTGGTGATGGTGTGGTGGTCTGGACAGCACTCGTCTCTGGCATCGTGATGTCAGGTAAAGAACAGAGCAGGGCAGGAGGCTCCACATTTGGTGGAGTTTCAGAATCTGGGCTTGGAAAACTGGGAATGAGAAGAGGAGGTGGGATAAAGGTGGGGGAGATCTGGACGTCGGAGGGTGACGTGACTTCAGTCGTAGAATCAAAGTCAGGTATTGGTGGGATGTTTGGCAAAAGGGCCTTTGGTGAGTCAATGAAGTCAGAAGGCACAGGGATGAGAGGAGCCGCTCCAGAGCAGTCTAAGCTGGGGCTGTCGAGGATGGGCTCAGACACCTCCACCGAATCCCTCTTCACTGATTTCTTGAAACCAAGGAGACGTTTCTTCTTTTGTGTTGCAGATTTGGGGGGAGGAGTGGCGGGGACCAGTTGTGCCGTGCGCTCCTTCTGGGTGAGTGTTAGCAGCGGGGGCTTCTTGTCCTTCTTTCTCTGATCCAACAAATCATTCTCAGTTTTCTCTGCCTTGTCTTTACTCGACATCAGCTTCCCATCGCTCTTGAGTTTTTTATAGTTGTTCTGAATCAGAGGCTTTTTGTTGTCCTTGTCGTCTTTAAAGACCACCCTGGGAGCAAGGGGTGTCTTCCCATCCAGGCTCTGGTTGATGGAGGTGAGCAGGGAGGGGCGCGCTCCTGCTGGCAGGTAGTGTGTGGGGCTCTGAGGAGGAGGCACAACCTTCGGCTTTTCTGGGAGAGCTGGTTTGATCCTGGGTTGTTTTGGGAGCAGCTCTTCATCCTGAAACTTGGCCCTGAGAGCCTGAAAGTCCATGGGGTCATTCTAGACAATACAATGTCCCATTACACAGTAAAGAACACGTTAGAACATGATGGGGTCTCAACATATTTATGACATAAAAAAAAACAAGTTAATAAAGACTTTGTTAGTATTAAAAACTTATATGACTATATAGTTTATAAGCACTAATATAGCCAGCATTTGTCTTATATTATAGAAAACAATTTGACTATAAGATCACGCATGATTTTCCAAATTTGAGTCAGGATTATTAACCGACTTACCTGATCCATGGTCTAATAGTATAATCCACCAAATGACAGCAGTCTCGTCAAATAATCCTGGTCCAGGGAGTTTCAGCCTCAGCCTCTGTGTGCGATGAATAATACTCCATCAACAAACAAAAAAAAAGATTCTACCTTTTTACTCGTGCTGTGGGGCTAAAACGAGCGTGTGCTCCATGCACACAGGAGATAGTTGTGGTGTAGGAATGAGGTCGAGTAAGAAAACTCACACTCATCTTTAAAAACAGCTCGTCTCGTCAAACAAGTCTTGCTCCTGCTAAACATTTAACACAGCACAGAGACTCTAGGACTTTTTTTTGTCTTCCTTCAGGAATGTGGCCCGGCTGGCCATGTGGTGTCTATGCGCAAAAGTGAGTCATTATCATGACACCTTATAGCTTTTTTTTTTTCCTTCTTTTACTGGTCACATTTTTTCAGTCACTTTTGTTTTTTAGCCTCAGCCTGAAAAAACAATAATATATATATATATATATATATATATATATATACATACATATATATATAATTGTTTTTTTATATATATTTGTGTTTTATCTTATGTATCTTTAGGGTATTTACTGGAGACACAAACTGGACACATGAGGCACCAGTACACCAGCAGCTTGTGACCTTTTGAGTTAAATTCAAATTTTTGTGAGTGGTTTACAAACTTCAGCTTCCTGTTAGATTTTTACCTAATCGCAGAATTGTCTAGATAAACAATAGAGAAAGGAAACAGGGGTGGCCCATCAACATTCCACACACACACAGACACACACTTCTACAAAATGTAAAAGTATTTAAGTCTGCAGTTACAGAATGACATAGATACAACATGTCAATATCAGTTAAAGAGAGAGATGAAAATCAAGATTTAAAACGATTTGGCTTTTTAGGACTAAATAACAACAGGTGTCCTATAATACTGAAAACATTTTTGTATTCAACAACTGAAGGTTTAGGTTTCCCAGAATTGTACTATCATTAAATCACAGTAAATGAGAGATCAGGGAGAGGGAGGGCCGATCTGATCTCATCCGGGTCGCAGAAAAGGACCTGACCGGATATGCAGTGGATGAGCTGTGCGCTCTGCCTCCCTCTAGCGGTACACAGGGAATTATGTTCCCCAGTACGGTTCGACGAGTCAAATAGGGCTGTAAACGGTGTCTTTAGTTGTTAAATAGGCTGATAGTCACATCAAGGAATACATTTCTGTTCTACTCTAGTTACTGTTGGCTATACGGGCAGTAAATGGTGATTTAAATATGTACAGAGTAATACATGATGTGAAGAGTTTGGAAAACACTGGTCTAATGATGGTATAATGGTGTTAGTGTGAAGAAATAGGGTGAGACGGAGGAAAATAATCCACTGCGAACTTTTTCACATAGTACTAGTAACCCGTTGTTAGCACCAACATGTAGAATTGAAATAACACATAAAATAAGATTGAAAGTACGTGTTTGAATGCAAATATGTAAAGTTCAATGCTGACATGTAAAGGAAGCCTGAATGTATTATATATTAGTTTTAATGCTAATATGTAACTCCTAAATGCTAATACAGTTTGTCATTATTGAACTCTAAAATACAGGAGTTTAATGCTAACATTTCAGATGCTTATTTCTTAACTGTGTCCAGATAAATATATAAATATATAAATTACGTTTAGCCAGAAATGTATTGTCAATTTTATATTGTTAAGATAATGCTGGATTTGAAAACATTTAACTTTTACATAAGATGACATGTATCACCTATGTTGTTTTTCCACTGTCATGTACACAAACACACTCCTGTTAGCTGTGGTGAGCCTGGGTCCTTGGGGGCCAGGACCTAAAGATGAATGAGTCAAGTATTGTTTTCTACAACAAACTGACCACAACATGGATTTTAATTAAGTACAAACCTTAAAACACCCAGAGCAGGAAGGTGACAGGTCTGGATCATCTTGGCTACAGTCATGACTCGACCAGGATGTAGTCTCTCCAAGTTCCATAGTCTCAGGTCTGTAGGATTCAAGAAAAGGGTGAACTATGCAGCAGCAGAAAGTTTCGCCAATGGTAGTGCAGGCTTCTGGGTTAAACATCCTGACACAGAACAATCCAGCATATGAGTTACAATGACCAAGTACCAGAACAAAACAAGACTTTAGATAGTTTTGGATAAATAGTTCATGAAAGTGGAATTTTGAAATAGGAAAATGAAAACCTAGAAAGTCGAGCCTTCTCGTCATCTGAGGTTCCTTTAACCAGGATCCATCTTCTCCATACTTGGTCACATTTGGTCCATAGAATCCTAGACAGACTAGTCAGTCAGTCTGCAGGATAAAGTACACAGACTCAGCAAAAATGTGAAGAACAAACGTGAAGACCTGTGGCTGAGAAGATCTTTCTGTCACCCTACAGTCAGGAAGCCAAACGTCCAGAGGTTGTAGATCTGGTACCAACACCTTTGGGGCAGGAAATACCAAGGAGTCTTACCTGTTTAACTGACTGATCTCACCACATTTAGACAGCCAGGACACATTGGGTGAAGCCTATACCACCTGACACTGCACCACCACCTACACTAATCCTAGATCCTAGACACTGAAAAGTTCAATTTCTACCCAAACAAATGATTTATTCTACAAGTAAGAGTCACAGAACCAGAGGGACCCTTGTCTGGTCCTGGAAAATTTAATGGCTTGATTTCCTTGAACAGAAGACAGGGAAGGACAAACCTCACCATCTCAGACTCGGTTATTCTCACAGGCCAGTTCTGTTGTACCATTAGCAGAGTAGTAACTTGTAGTTAAAGAAGCTGAACCATTTGTTTCAAACAGGAACAGAACATTAGAGATAGTCTACATCAGTACCAAGTACTAATGAATCATACAGAATCATGATGTTTAAGGACAGAGATCTGCACCACCAGAACCATTTCTTAATTCTTTTAATTAGTCTCAGCAAAGCAATAAAAAAAACCAACCAACAAACAAAACAACGTTTTTTTCAACTTAATGTGAAGTATAAACTATTTAGCTAAAATAAATACACCAAGCAAAAACGAATAAAAACCCCAAAGTATCTTACCTTTCTACCGGAGCCTTTTCTCTGGACCACACCAAGCCGCCATTAAGGAACTACGACACCTGTGTAGTGATGTGTCGTTCACGAGTGATTCGTTCAAAATGAACGAAACTTTCATATGCCTCGTGACTCCCGAGTCATATTAAATATTTGTTCATATTGAACTCACGAATCACTCACAAATCACTCACTGCGAACAACTCACTCTCTGCGAACTAATCTTTCATTGTGAACTAATCTTTTACTACGACCGAATTACTCTCTGCAAACTTATCTTTCACTGTGAACTAATCATTCATTGCAAACGAATCTTTCGCCGTGACCTAATCTTTCGCTGTGAACTACTCACTATGAACGGATCATTCTCTGTGAACTAATCTTTCGTTGTGAACTAATCTTTCGCTGTGAACTACTCACTATGAACGGATCATTCTCTGTGAACTAATCTTTCGTTGTGAACTAATCTTTCTCTACGAACGAATTACTCTCTGCAAACTAATCTTTCATTGTGAACTAATCTTTCACTGTAAACTAATCATTCATCTCAAACGAATCTTTCGCCGTGAACTAATCTTTTGCTGTGAACTAATCACTATGAACGGATCATTCTCTGTGAACTAATCTTTCGCTTCGTTCTCGCAGATTCATTTCATTTGTCACGTGACAGAGAGCTCGGGTCTCTTTTGCTTTCATTCATCTTCACATTTGGGTGTGTTTTTATTTCTTATATTTTCGCATGGTTTAAATTGCTTATGGCATTTTGTGTATTGTGAATATTGTGAATGAGCACTTTTTAAAGCAGTGGTATTAATACCACTTGTTGTACTTGGGCTCCCTCTAGTGGCACACGGGGGAATCTCCATGAGTCATTCGGCTTTAATACGGCTGTAAAATGTGTCTGGTTGTTAAATAGGCCAACAATCGCATTTAGGAATACATTCAAATTCTGTTTTCTGTTTGTTTGTTTTTTTGTTAAAATTTAGGTTAAAACTACCATTTAAGATTTAAATTTAACGGCAGAAATAAAACCAATAATTAATTTCCCTTTATACTAACCATGCTATATGTATTAAAAACCACAGAATGAGCATCTTTGATATGTATACCAGGAGCAGGTCTTATTAATGGAGGCCACCATGATGTAGCATCACAATGACTTCACACTATCATACTGTACACAAACTAAGCACTTTTACTTTTGTATATAAAAACAGAAGTTTACACTATGTTTTCATACATGTTTGACTCAACATGGTGACCTTTGACATTTTGTAGTTAAGCTCAAGCCATCACTGCATCTACATTTAGCACTGCGGCCAAAAAGAAACCATGTTTCTGTATATTATATTGCGTTGAGGTTTTTCCTAGACCTTTTGCCCATATTGTTACAATTGAAGAAACAACATAATCTGATAAACTGGGAGCAGATAATGTATTTCTACCACAGTTTGTTGTGCCCATCAAGTCTGGAGTGAAACGTGTTGGGAGGCTGATGTTGTGGTTTCATAGTGTCTCAGTAATAAAGCTGATGACGGCAGGCATTAGAGGCTGCGTGTGTGGAGTAGTGTGACAGGCCATTAGAGCTGTGTTAAATCACAACAGAATACCGTGACACTTGGTTTACACTTAGTAAAGACACACTGGGGGTCACCTCTGCCTGGCACACACCATTAGGCTTACTCCCCCTTTCTAGGCACATGCACTCACAAATTACCAGCAGACGACTGAGTCATTTGGGATGTGTTTATTTGTAACAGTAATACATGGTGAGATACGTAAATCAAAAGGGGAACCAAAAAAAGAAAAATCATCTAAAAACCCACTGTAGAATGTCATATTCATAAAGATAAAAATAATGTGTCAATTTACATTAAGAAACTGTTAGCTGAGGTAAAGTTAAAATAGGTGTAGAAATGCTATGTACTCAAACAGCAATGTTTCCCTTTTTGTTCATCTTCTTTGCTTGTCTTCCTGTCATCACATTTGTTAAGTCAATCAACATCATACTCCAAAAGAGTTCTCAAGTGACACGGGGGCTCTGGCCATAAAATAGGGGGTCGTTGCCATCACAGTCGATGAAGCTGTAGCAGAGGATGCTGCGGTCCACACACAAACATTTGGACCGCAGCAGTTTTGGCACCTGAACAACAGCTAGATGGGCACAGCATCACATTATATGACTGTTGTGGGAGACTGGGATGGAGAGACGGAGAAGGACACTGAAAAGACAATGTTTGCTGCCTGCAACATAGGACTAAAATCTTGGGGAACAAAAACACCCATGGTGTTTGGCCAATATAAATCACCGGGACATAATGACACGGTGACAGTGTGAGAAAAGCAGTGGTGCCTGGACACGGACGTGAGCAAAAACAAGGATTATTGGACAGCAGAAAAGAAGCAGGTGGCAAAACAGGAAAAAAGGAAAACAAATGTGGCTATTGCTTGGGTTTAAGTCAAAAGATTGCATAACTGAAACCTTCCTATTTTATGGCACAGAAGTCCGGTGGACAGAATGGTCGTTATTATTTACAAAATGAGTTTGGCAAACCAATGATCAGATGCCTTAAAGCCAAGTTGACTCTATAACTACGATAGAGGTGACTCCAGTGGCATGATTGACTTATAAAATAAAAATTAATTTTTTCAATTTGTTCCTTTTTTCCTTTTAAATCAGTATTGTACAAAAGCTATAGAGAAGAACCAGTTCAATCACAGGATCTGCCTGACTGGCAACACCTTCCTCTCATGGTCCATTCCTCAGTTTGTCTGGTCCTCTGGCTTTCCAACAAGTCTGTCTGAGAGGTGGGGTGTTTGGCAAATCATCAAGTGGTGTATGTGTGTGTGTGTAGGAGCAGTTATGTGTATGTGTGTGTTGTAGGCTGTGTGCACAGCATTTCTGTCGATGTGTGAGTAGCTCACAAAGAGTCTGTCTCTGCATAGCGATCCAGCAGACACTCACGAGAATGGTTAAAAAGCACTCAAACCAATGACCAAGCAGAGGCACTGATCCCAGCAACGGACCACTGTCGACGGGCCGGTAACAAGTCCAGCTCCTCCCGTTGGATGTCTTTGCTACAGATCAGGTGGATTTCACACTGTTAGAAAGAAAAATGAACACTCTAATCCCAATGGGCGTGCACGTGTGCAGGTGGATGTCGGAGATAGAGAGGCACTGCTTGATTCAGTCCCTCCTTGGCAGCACTGACGCTGGCCGGACACGGGAGGCCGAGGGAGGTGTGAGAGAGCACAGACAGGGAGGATGAGGCGGAGGTGCCGGCAGGGGTGGAGGGAGGATCGGGTTATGTCAGTAAGGCTGGGTGTGAATCGCCGCAGGGAGGGAAGAGAAAAGGAGACGGCACACAGTGAAGGGCAAACTGGGTTGATTGACATCCCCCCTGGCCTGGGGTGACCGGCTGGGAGGACTCCCTCCCCTTCAGGGAGAGGAAAGGATGTGTAGATGAGGAGGAGAAAAAAGGAGGAGGAGTTCAGGTGCAGAGAAGAAAATGTGGGCTGCCATCTTTGGAGGATGTTTGCCCGAGGGTAGAAAAGGGACACGAATATGGAGGACACACACACACACACACACACTCCTCCTGTTCTCTCATCAATGGTCAGCTTTGTCTTTTCAGTGCGTCTCTTTATTTCTTCCCTTTGTTGATCTGGGCGTAGAGAGGGTCCTTCCTCACCTGTGAACGGGAGAGAATAAAAGTCAAAAATTAAATTAAAATTTTAATTTATTGTTAGAGAACAATAGCAAACGGAGTTCTCCACTAGTCAGCCCTGATCAGCAAGTAAAAATATTTTGTTTCCGTTTTTATCCAAGCCACACGGTGGCAGTAGCGCACTATGTCCAATGGTAGTCCGACGTTTCCTCTGAAAAAAAAATCCTTCTCATTCTAAAAAGCAGTACGTGTGTGACTGCATGGGTGAGTAATTGTTTCTACGTGTGTAATTGTGATTACGCACATATATTCCGTCCCACAGTAGGGCAACAGGAACCAGACATACAACTGCACCTTGAATGATCCGTTATGACTCACTGTGTATTTCTCCATGTGGGAGAACAGCAGTGGCTGTGGAACAGCCTGCAGTCACTCACAATAGGCTTATAATTAACACACACACACACACACACACACACACACACACACACACACACACACACACATTTACAGCCAGCCACTCAATCTGCAACACAGACAACTTGATGGAAGTCTTCTGACTGATTATACCTGGGCCTTTTCTCCCTTCTTTGCTGCCTAGCGTTCAGAGTTAGCTACAACACAAAAGTATTGTGTTATATATGTAGATATAATGTGATGAATCTTGACCAGAGCAACAGACTGGAAAATCCATTTTGTCTAATGTCATGATTGGAAATAGAAGAGTCACAATTCTCCCTAGATCATGAGGTCCAATCTGTTTCCCTGTAATAATTGTAAAACCCATTCTGCTCTGCTTTGTCTTATTAATATCATTTCAATATAGTATTGAGCGCCCCCTCCATCTGTGTGTCTTTTTACTGTTATTTGGGGTCTGTGGTGTTGCTGTAGGGGTTGAAAATGTGTGTTGATTAAACTCCCATCATTGTACTATGTTAAAATATATGGAAAAGATAGGCCAAGAAATGAAAGCATATATGTCCAGGACAGTAGCAGTTCACTGCCATAATTTAAATTGAAGCCACTGAGGCCATGTAAATACACAGAGAAACCATGGGTCACATTTAAAATAATACATTTTCTTTCTTTTTTCAAGTCCTACCATCTTTGATACTCTGCGGCAGAAATACATTTTTATGTATGACTTTATTTCACATGTCATATGAGCATCTTTTAATTTATTAATTCTAACCAAAAGATTCTTTCTATATTTGTTTTTTTTTCATCAGTTTCAATAACCATTTGACATCTCATGTCTGACGTGTAGTTAAAGCCTCCAAATATAACGTGTAGTTAGACGTGTAGTTAAAGCCTCCAAATATAATGGATCTGACTGATAAGATGTTTTGTTTTTAAGCTGGAGGTGTTTGATTCAAGTGTGTGCAGATAACAACAAATGTATTGACAGTGTGCCATGGCAACCATAAGTGGATGGCTGTTGGAATTATTGGATAAACAGAGCACTTAATTCAGCCCACACCTCAGAATGTAGAGAATTAAAGATTAAAAAAACATCAAGGCACAAACCTGGTGGGTCAAAGGTGATCCCTTCTATGATAGAAATTCCGGGCCACCATTGGACAACCCTCTGACCTAACTATCTCTCAACCATATACATAATTCTTCAACATCACAGCTAAACACTTTTCTACGTGGCAGGGCCTCTCCTCACCATCACCTGTATTAATTGACTTTTTCTTAGAATTAAAATCTATTTTTTCCCCATTAAATAAATTCTTCTAAATCTGTCTGCTGCAGCCCTCATGTGAACTGAAACCCGAGGTGAAGGTTGGGAGAGTTGCTTACTAAGACTACAGAGCGCTATAACTGTAGGACTGACCAAGGCCAAACAGTCAGCAGAAAGTAGCTGCCAGCAGCCCTGAGAGGTGACAAAGGGAATGAGACAAGCAGTGACAGCCAGCAGCAGACTGCTCTGCACCACAGTTACACACTGCAACTCCTAACCTGTGCTGCCAACTGTGGCCATTACAGCTTTATCAAACCCAGGCTAGAAACGGGAGGAGGTGTGATCGACAATAGCAGCAGCCCAAAGGCCATCATATCTGGCAGGGTGAGGCTAACTGGGGGAGAAAGGCATTTCCCAGTATAGATTAGAGAACGTTGGCGGGACATGATGAGCTCACCCAAGAAAACAAAAAACAAACAAAAAAAAAGTATTTTCTCTGTAGCCTGAACACCTGTCTGGTAGGGCGACACCATCTTGGGATTAGAACAGGACGAGCAGCAAACAAGTTCTGGCTGCAGCGTGAGCCCAGGTGGTGAGGGTATCGATCACAGGTGTGCTTATTTTTGGGTAATAACTGGGCCCTTCCACATGTCCGTGTGTGTGCGTACGTGTATTTGGGAAAACGTCTAAAGCTAATGCGTAAACACCATATGGGAGCAGCGCCACTGGACCGGCACCAGAACGCTCCACCTATTCCACAGAGGAACGTCTGCCTGTGGCCCGGTCCGTCAGTCAGTCTGCAGCCAGAATCAGCGCGCAGCACTCCACAATCCATCCTCCCACTTAAGGCCCGCACCCACCTGCTGCCCTACAGCTTTCACACAGTCTGAATATGAGGACGTGGGCCAACAGGGGAGAGGGGCTTCTCAGCCAGCCCCCTCCTCTCCTTCAGTGAGGAAGGACTGGAAGGCTCCTTGGGCTTTAATTAATGCCAATTATGCCAGGGCAGTCATTAATCTTGGCACTCTAGTATTAGCCGATGAAAACAAAACCATTACATTTTCCCCGTGCTGGTGCCAGCAGCTATCATTAGGAGCCGCAGTAGGGAATTGTGTGGGTGAGGCCACTGGTTAGGGAAGACAGGATCAGAGTGGTTCTCCTCTTCTCTCTGTGTGTCTGTCCTTCATCTTCACCAGTTCAAACTCCAAACTCCGGCTAAACTTGTCCCTCAAACCTAATGCACGTCAGGATGGAGGTCAAAAGAATAAAAAGGAAACAAAAGGGAAGGTGCAGACGATATGTGAAAACTCAGGTTCCATCAGGTGAACTCTTTCTACAAAATCACATTACACCTCAGATGGAAATCCAAATGAATAAAAAGACAGCACGTGTCGTGTCTTTACCAAGCGTAACGTTTGAGATCAGCAAAATGCACGCAACGCTGGCGGATCCCTAAAGGTGCGAGTTCAGTGAAGCACAGCGACTCTGATTGGCTTTCACACTCCGATGACAGTCGTCGTGACGTGTTGTATTTAGGAAAGTGGAACTTTTGTTATACGTACATTCACAAATCCAAAAATACAGTCATGATGATGACGGTCAAAATAAATATCACACATCCGTCTTTTCACTTTATAACTGATGTGTACTCACCTTTGTCACCAAATGATCAGATTTCAAACTTATTACCATAGTAACGCAGCAAAATAAAGATGGAAAAAGTCTCATGCAGGATTAAAGTGAACAGGAAATAAAGACGAAGAAGACACAGTGAGGAGTCGTCAGTTTGAAGGTAGCAGCCACACCTACCGTGCCCTTGCTCTATCTAGCTCCCAGCCTCTGGACTGGCTTGTTCTGGGTTGGGCTCTGCTGGTTCACAGGGGCAGGGCGACCCAGAACCACAAGCCTAAAGAGGAAGTGGAAAAGTAGGAAAAGGAGAGTGGGGTCGACAGAGAACAGGAGAAGAGGATCAGAAAAAAGGAAGGAAAAGAATGAATCTAAAAGTAGAAGAACTACAGAACTGTTGTACTACAAGAGCATCAACACACAGAGACAGCAAAGTGACAGAGGGTGTTACAGTATTAATACCAGGGCTGTCAAAGGATTACAAATTGAATCTGATTAATCGAAGGGTAGCTGTGGATTATCATGATTTATTGAGATGGAATAATAATCTAATTTTTGTTCCTGTATACTGCTGGAACAGAAAGACAAATATCGGTAGACAGATGTGTGACTAATCCAAACGATGGAATTATTAAGACGGAAAATGTCAGGAAAAATATTCCTTGTTTAAACTCAACATTTGGCTTAGCTTTAGAGTTGGTGGATTTGAGTCATTACGGTGCATCTCGGGGCTTGTAGAAAGTGTGGAGAGATAGAGAGTATCAACTGATACCCATGTATATGCAGACGTTTTCCCCTGAACTGCGGTAAAAGTATCTGGAATCACAAGTGAACGATTCTTACAGATATTACATAATTATGCTAACATCGGGAACATTGTAATCTGAATGATTCATTTCACAAATTCATTAACACCCTAACTAACACATATTAGTAAATTTAGATTGACAGACTGACTCCCAAAAACAAACTTCCATGCACTCACACATGCACATACTCTTAACCGTGGTCTATTATGAAGGTCTCGCTCGGGTTGGTTTTTATTGATCTGTGGCTTTTTTTCCTCTAAAACACTCCTGCTTTTTACAGCGCTTCCTGCAGAGAGTGGGAGGCTGCATTTCTGCCCACGCTCAATTTTTTCTCCTGTCTCGTTCTTTCTTGGTAACCTTTTGGTCTGAATCACTCACTCAGTGCCGCCACCAGTGAACATTTCTCTGAGTTGTGTAAAGCCTCTCTGTGTTATACAGGCCTGGTGACATTTGCAGCAGTGTGAAAGTTCTCTCTTTTTTTCCCCCAATAACGGCGGGACCAAAGGCATAAAACTAATGTTTCATGGCTGGAGAGTAATAGTAGAAAGAAACAGAGAGTGAAAGAGATTGTCAGGGATGTAATGAGGAAAGCCTTTTTTATTTGAAGGGCATTTCTTCTTCTAGGACTTTGGCTGGTTCTCCCCCCCGACACCTGAGAACCTCTTCATTTTCCCATCTTTCTCTAATTTCTCCCACCTTAAGGTGCTACAGGATAGATGAATATTAATCACTTTCACATAGTCTCTGTATCAGCAGAGATGAGGCTGTCCAAATTTGAAGTGGTGATGAATGGACGCTCCCTGGCTGGCATTAATAACAGCCTAATGATGTCTCTGAACATTCTGTAGCTTCATTTAACGCTTTGTTGACCAAGCACAACAACACCACCACACCACATTCTCACGCAAGCACAACACTGCCAACGTTCACACTGAAGTACACGACCGATGTGCGCTCATACAAAACACACACAGACACACACAGGAAGGGACACAACAGCAATCAGCCAGAGTGATTATGTGGTTGGTCAGTGCTGCCACAAAGGCTGTTTATCAGCAGCTCTGTATCCTGCTGTGCACTTTACAGCAGCATAAGGAGTGAGTTATTAAAGGAACACACACTTGACTAACTCCACACACATCTCCTTCAGCATCCCCTCTCTCTCTCTCACACACACACACACACACACACACACACACACTCACAGCGTCTTCCTCTCCACTGCGGCTGGGGCTGCCCTCCGCTTCTCCGAACGAGTCATCCGTGGGGGGGTCTGTGGCATCGGTGGGGGGGTCACTGACATGTGAGACGGAGGACTTGGAGGGGGAGCTCTGCCTAGGAGCCGGGGTGGGTGCTGCAGGGGAGGACATGTTGAGTCAGAGGCAGCCGAACAGCAGAGGTGAAGTCAGACATGAGTGGGCGGAGTCCTTACGTGAGTTGGTGGATGGTGTCGTGGACGTGACCGGCGTCAGATTCATTTGCGAAATGTCAAAGTCGTCACAGTCGTCCGTGTCCTGGGCGGTGCCCACACGGCTGAAGTAAGTGCTGAATGCCTCTGAGGTTCCCGCTAAGCAGGGCTGGTCAGCCTTTTTCGACGGCATGGCCGGAGGCTTTGCCAGTTGAAAGTCCTGAGGGAAAAGATAACAGTCAGTCAGTTTAACCCTTTCACATTTGAACTGTACCTGACATCAGACTCTACAGACACACAGGTAAATACGGTCCGACGTGGACATGGATCACTTTGATCTGTAGAGAATCTAGTTTAAAGAAATGATTTGTCTTAGTCAGTGTACTGATACTGACACTGGACTCAGGAATATCTGCAAATACTGATACTAGTCCACTACTATCCTTTCTCCTTATACATGTACTATTCAGTGCTATGCAGTACTTTGCTTAATAGAGACATCTTAAAGCTGCAGTGCTGCTCGCTATAAAGAAGAAATAAAAACAAAAAATGTCAAGCTTTGCAATGATGCTACTTTTTTAAAATCTAAACTTTCTACTCAATTAGACTGTAGAGTATTTGTAATTAGTCAGACCGACTCAACACTAACAACAAAGTTGAAAGTGAAACTTCATTCAAATGAACATAATAACAAATAAACAGGCAGTATAATCCTCCTGGTAGACTCTTGAATTGGTGTGTTTTTAACACAAAAATCATTACAAAATAAAGACATTAACTTTCAGTCGGCAGGAACAGGAGTGTTTCTAACCTCTGTCTGATTCATTCTTGTTTGTTTGTTTGTTTTTCCTCTGGGCTATAAAAATGTTAAATATATGATAGTAATTCTAAGAGTAATGTAACTGTCAGTGAACCCCACAGAAGAAGAAGATGTTGTTGAAGGGAGGAGGAGGGCGAGGTCAGAGGTTTTTGTTTCAACTCCGGTGTCAGTTTTGTGAAGATACTGGGGGAGCTGAATAAATTCACCAGGGCTGTGACCCAACAAATTCAACTGTGCTTTGGCCTTTTGTGATGAATGACTCGGTCAGATGTGTTTGGCATGGAGTGCATTCCCTGTATCCACAGGAAAATCACTGGTCCCCAGAGGGAACTCTATTTTTAGTTTTGCTAAAATGTGTTGTGACCCAGTTTAGATTTTTACTAAATATTAATATTGTACCAGCACACTCCACACGGGGCATTTGATCTGTGATAATAAAACAGTGCAGCAAGAAGGAAGAAACATGCATTTTTTTGGGAAGTACCGGTTAGCATGGAGAGATACTTCCACTTTGAATACACAGTATAAAATATTTCTAAGACAAATGAGCATTTCACACACACCGAGGATATCTTTAACGCTGCACCTCTGCTGATTTTGGGTTCTAATCTGTCATCCCTCTGACGTTCTGTGGCTCTAATGGTAGAATATAAAATCAAATAACTGGAAAAACAAACAAAAAAAAAAAAGGAAAATGCAGATGAGGCCTAGTTTCTCAGACTGATGTTAAATATTTCACATTTCTTTGTACTTATTTGCATCATAAGCAGGCGTTTGATAAAAGATTAGGGTTAGAGAAGTCTCCGTAGACAGAGTAAATCTATTCTTATCGTCTCTCCTCATCGCCGTTTTTCACCTTGAACATTTCCTTGTTCAACTTCTTCCCTCTATCCCCGTGCTGTGGACTCGAGGACGCCGAAGGGGAAGATGCCGAAGCGCTGGCCCCGGCAGCTGAGAGGCTCTCTCCGGCAGGAGTCACAGTGGTGACAGGGGCGAGAGTCTGGAACATGGCAGCGGGCAGTGTGCCCACAGGCTGGGCGGGGAGGTAGGCTGTAGGAGAAAAGGCTCCGGCTGCCATGGCTGCCCACTGTTGCTGGGTGGCAGGGAAGATGTTGGCCTGTCCCCAGATGAGAGGCTGTCCACCTGGCAGCACCTGAGCTACAGGGCCCAGTGGAGACTGGACCCCAAAAGCCAGCGGTGTCTGTGCAGCAAATGCCTGCTGGGACCAGTGGCCGGGGGGAACTGCCCCCATTGTCACATAACCTGGAAATAAAGAGGTTGAACAATGGGGAGAAAAAAGGTGTTAGATACTCACTGAGCATTATGTATGTTCACCACTGCTTTTGCCATGACACAGAAACACACACAGAGATAATGAGTTATGAATCACAGGAGAGTACTGGCCTACTTCTGCCTTCAGCTACTTGGTTCATTTTCATCCTCACTGTGAATCCCCAACATCTCCACCAAAATCACACAGACCTTTATAATTCAAAAATATTTCACATTTCTGGCTAGTACCACTTTGGAAAACACAGTGTATTTCTTTGGCCCTTATGCAGTATAGATTATTGAGCACAAATTGAACTTAAGAATATTTGTTAAACACAATGACATAACAACTGGCCAATACCCAGTACCACAGCAATACTTCGTTAGGTTGGAGTTTGATTTTCAATGGCCTAAAAGGTGGTGTGTATATAGGTGAGACAGCACTCTGGGGAATGGAGTGTGTGTGTGTGTGTGTGTGTGTAAACCACAGACACCAAGCAGGAAAATGCTAACAGACAGTTTTCATTTTCTTGTCAATCACAGAAAACTATTTCAAGCCAAAACGAAAAAAAAGTATTTGTGTATTGAACTATAGTAATTTGACACTGACACGGTCAGTGTCAAATTAGACAACATAACTAAACTGAGAATAAAATAATAAAGTATAAAGTAAACAATCACTAAAATCAAACTTTCTACAGCCAACACATCTGAGCAGAGCTGTCACAGAAATATTCATTTAATTGATATTTTTTCCTCAACCCAGTGAACTGCAGTAGGAAAATACACAAAACTCGCTGACCAACTGACCGACTGACTGACCGACCGACTGACTGACTGGCTGGTTGTGCTGAAAAGCAGATGGGCAGGTTTTTGAAGTATCTGTATGAGGGATCAGGCCACATCCAGATACATGTATTAGTTTTGTACATCACTAACAAAAACATAGTAAACCTGGACTAGTTTACAGCATATACAGACAGAAGACAGAGACAACACTAAATAAATCCAACCTGATTTATCAAGTATGCACTCCATGTATTCTCCACTACCATCTCACCATGTTTCATTATTTTCTCCTGACCACCAGCAGAGGTAAGTAAGCAGCAGTAGAGACAGCAAACTAATGACGCATTTCACATTGAGCACAAACCCATGTCAAGTATTCTTCTCCTTCACCTCATTCACCAACATTCATTTCAATTCTATTCCATTCTCCTTTATTTATCTCAACACCTCTTCTCTTCACCTCCTCTGACTGCTGCCCTCCTTCATCCTAGTTCTTGACTCAGTCTCCTGTGGTGTTTGTTTATCTTTGAGTATTAGGTTGTTTTTTTTTGCCTAATAATAAACCAGCTTTTACCTGAGGGCACAGATGCAGGATTGAAGGGAGCAAACAGTTCTGTGGGAGGCTGCAGGCCCTGCGAGGGGTCAAGGGTGTTGGCTGGAGATGCGGGAGTCTGTGAGTGTTGTCGTTACAAATTAGGGTTAAAAACGAAGAAAGAGAGACAGCTGTGTAAAAAACTTTATTAGGCTAAGACTACGGTGTGTGTGTGTGTGTGTGTAGGAGAACATCTCACAGAGGGAGAGGTGATGTCAGGAGGTGTGGACATGTCTCCAAAAATCTCTAACTGGTTGATGTTCTGAGGAGGAAAGAGAGCAGACACTGAGTGCTACGCACAATATGACTTCCGTGGCGGTGGATCTGTAATCTGAGGCAGTTTTCCACTCCGGTGCAACATGCATCACGCACCGCATGCAACACAACGATAGCACAGTGAGTCTGCGGTACCTACCTGAGCGCTGTGGCGGCGGCACAGTGGAAGGTTACAGAGCAGTGAGGAGAGACGGAATAATGAGATGAGATGATTGACAGTGATGACATACCTTACCTACCGCAACTCTTCGCAATCTTGACTATGTGCCTCCGATAAAGGAGCTTTCGAGCAGCTGCTCAAAAGACAGACTTCCCCAACCTCTGTCGTTTCTGCACCACTGTTTTCTTCTTGCGGACAAGTCGGAGATGTGTGATGTGCCTCACAGGGAATACTGTAGCTATCAAAGAGTGCAGCCCTTCTACTTGATCTGAATTTGTTCTGGATCGCATTATGTCTTTCCACTGATCCCTCTCTTCACTGTCTCTTCCCTTTGTGCACATTAATAATATCTTAAGGCCGGTGGCGAGTGAGGGGGACTATTTTTAGTCGATGCAGGAATTTAAGCCTTGAATACATGGTCAGAGATTTGCATAAATCACCGATGCTGATAATTTCTTCAGCGATAATGAATGCTCTTAGAACAGTTTCCCTCCACATACCCTCGCACACAGGTCGCAAATGTGTTGCGAAGTTCTTTTGAAATATATCAGATAATGGATCTGTGGGCCGAGTGTCACAGTTAAACTAATAAATTCTGATGGTTCAATGTACTATTGATACCACCGTACAGCAAACGCTGCATCCACAGGACACGATAAGAGAATATGCACTTTAACTTAAAGAGTGAAGCCAAAGTTGTTGCCGAGTATTAAGACATTGACTTATCTGAGCCAATGCCAGAGGCTCAGCTTGTGTTGGCCGTAAAGAAAAGGCTCCAGCAAATGCAAGATGATAGACTTTCTGTCCACTTTATGAACACACGACTCAATAATCTTTCTGTTTGTGGTGACGGGGAAGCAAGGTCAGGAGCTGTGATTATCAGTTTGTTATGAACGCTGAATTAATGCGTTGTGTTTAATGCGCTCAACTTGGCAAGTGTGACTGGAAGCCGGGTGACCTCTGCCCCTGTCTGACAGCAGGTCTGACCTCTGCGCATGTGTTGTTTTCTAAGACTGTGAGCTGGGAGCCAGTGACCTGTGTGCGTGTGTGTGTGTTTTTCTTTCTTCCTCTCCCCAGCTTGTCCTTCCTCATTCACAAAAACATGTGGGTTTGGACATGCAGGTACTGTACTCGCCTCTGCTACAGCCTTAAAGTGGTTGCTATAGCAACTGCAGTGTTGCACGGTATTATTCATAAGTGACATGGGTCAAGAGTTGGGGCGACTTACAACAACAAGAGGACAGAAGTGGTGCAGCACAGGGACAGGAGATCATCAGAGGAGGACTAATGAGTGGAGTTTAAGGCTGCCAGCTCTTTTTTCAAGACTCTTAATTCTCTGGAAACATCGAGGAACAACAGCATCCTTACCTCAGTCACCATTTCCAGATCTATCAGATCTGCCACTGGTGGCTGTTGCTGCTGCTGCTGCTGTGGTTTTGTTTGTTCTTGTTGATCGTGGTAATGATGATGCTGATGACGGTGGCGGTGGGGGGTGATCTGATGTCCGTTCTGCAATAGCAACCGCAGTGTTAGATGGCGGATGGAATGAGAATGTGCTCACGCAAACGTATTAGTTGTTTATCATACACCCGATGACGATGAGGAAGTGAGGTGAAATGAGGCTAAATCAGGAGAGGAAATGTCATAACACACACACTCACGTGTGTCTTAGACGAGTAAAAACAACAACAGAAAAGAAAAACTTTATCTCCTGACTTGGGAACCAAGTGAAGATTTAAAAGGGTTTAAAGATCATCCCTGCCTTCAGACTAAACTACAGCCCTGAGCCGGGGTTTAAACCCTCCCCCTGTGTCAGGAGCCACAGTGGGAGACAAACAGAGAGACACAAATCCCAGCTGCATTTACACTGCTGTATATTAAAGTGGAGTCAGGCTGAATGTTATGTACAGAACCATTCATTAGAAAACATTTCATTTCATTTGCTTTGTCATCACTTAAATTTATAACAAAATACAATTATTTCTTTGTTTTCCTGATAGATCATTTCTGTGTTTTTGAATCGTGGCATATCTGAGGCAAACATTTCAATTTGATTACGATTTTCCCTCATCCCTGAAGTCAAATCTCCCTCCACATCAGTCCGACTATAAGAAATTCTCCAACATCTTTCAGATCTGACAGACTGTAGCCGTGCCAGATCGTTTTCCTCCTCTGGCACTGGGACTTAAACTGAGCAGATTGATCTGGCAAAGCACTATCTGTAGTTAATTCATCAGGACATTGTTGAGTATATTGTTTTTTGGATGTAACCTTGGAGAACGACCTTCGTTCAGAAGATTTCCGTCCTACAAATCAGTTTTGGAGATCGTTTTTTTTTTTTTTTTCCTACTTTTTATTCACAGGGGTTTTCACGTCTGGCTGCTGAATATTTATTCATGATATTGAAAGAGGAAAATAATGCTTCACTTTTTCTTTTGCTAAAAGCCACTACCTGGACTTCCATTACTAGTCACTCTCTGTTCACTCCATCTTCTCTGGCCCTGCCAACTATCCCTCTGCGCCCATTAAATGCCCTCGCCAACTCTTCGCCTGGTCTTTCATCTTCATCAGTGCAGCCGCCACCCATCAATTACCGTCTCCTGGGACAAACAAATACCTGTGCACATGTGGCGTGCATACAATTACTGCAGTCTCTAAAAATAAAGTCACCCTCACTGACCTCCTGTTGTGTAAAGGATTACACTGGCACATACTACCTGCAGACGTGTGTGTGGGATTAACGTGTGTGTGTGGGATTACCCAGTATATACACCAGTCCATGAAGGAGAACAAAAGAAATCTTTAACTATCTTTAAAACATTTCTTTGGTCGACTACTGTGATCCAACATGGCAGCCAGATGATAACACAGCACCAATGATGTAACACTTTTTAGTGACATTTCTTAAACTAAATCAATGACTATCAGCGGGTGGCCCATGGGCCGAATCCTGCCCGCTAAACCATCCAATCAGGCCCAGGACTGGATTCCAAAATTGTGGGTATCAAAGGGGAAAAAAATTATATATAATTTTAATTCAGTGCATCTCCAGAAAATCCACAGACAAATATAATAGGTATAAATAGTGTCTCACAGAGTACACATTTAGGAGGGTGACAGAGAGTAAAGAATGGTGAAAACCCTGGCCAGTGCCATCACCTCATCAGAAGTGTACACTGCAGTGTATGAGTGGACATTTAGGACATTAGGACGACTCCAAGGGTCCCTGACTGACAGGGGCCTTCGACTGAGGCCCAGAATTTCTGGCACAGCTGGTGTTCAGATTTATCACTGTGACATTACACGGAGGTTATCAAAAATGGATTAATCTCTGGATTAATCTAGAATAAATACTCATCACATTACTTCACAGACTAACCAAACTGTCACATGTAACCCTGCCGTACTGAAACAGTTTCATTTCTCCAATGCACTTAAGTCTCTCTGTATTCAATCCAGATTTAATGAATCATCAAATTTCTTGCACGAAAGAGAAATATTGGATTCTTTTTTTTTAGATGCAGACACAAGCCAACACAAAAGCAATCCAAAAGCAGCAGCATGGGTAGGAAGCTGGGTGAGGGGAGAACAGAAATACTTTGTTGCCTTCAAGCGTCTTACCAGAATGAGCAAAATATGCAGCCAGGAAACTGCGAGAGTGATTCTCAGAATACCAAAAATTGGTGAAGAGGGATTCAGACTACCAGCAGTGACAGGAAGGAGGAATATGAATTTGAGCAGTTTAAAAATTAAAGAGCCACTGCAGGTGGATTCACAGTAAGGTGGTGGTCTGATGTTAGACCAACAGAAGACCCCCAGAACTGCCAGCATCATGAAGAGACAGAAACCCAGGAGAACAGCCTGGTTACTGGAACGATTTTAGTAGATTAAATTCAGGAAGCAATATAACCGAAAATGTTTATGTGCAGATAAGAAGCAGTTGAGTTATACTGAAAACTCACAGTGGTCAAGGTCGTTTTCCATTACTACCAATGGCCCACGTGCACACCCTCACGCACAACTCACGCACACACTATAACAAAACAAAATGTTTTTTCTAAAAACAGCCACAAACGAACGTGTTCATCCTGAGAAATGTTGATGAAAAAACATGAGTCCATGCACATTTACAATCAGTTGCCATAATTTATATTCATTAGAATCAAGTGACAGCACAGTCTGGGATGAGGTCATGCAGAGCTTTACTGGATTCAACACTGGCAAACCACAGTCGGGCATGCTTGGCCGCATCCGCTGACACCATACACACGTAGTATTTCATTAGACCATAACAGCAAGCACCACAGAGGACGAGGGAGAGGCAGCAGCCGCCACAGCTTCAGCACACACAGACGAGCAGCACAGCACAGCACACTGCAGGAGAGCACTGGTTCCCAGCAAACCTCTCAGGAGAAAAAAAAAAAATCACCAACACACAGGGCCGCTGTGTGGAAATACTGGTCAAAAAATATTTTCAAATGCTCTTCCAAAACAAGAGTGGCGTCAAAGCGTCAAAGACGTCTGAGAGGTTTGTCTGAGAGGGGGAGGGCAAGCTGAGTGGGACGCCGGCACGCGGGCAAACACACGGTCACTCACTGGGTGTCGCTTTGGGATGTCATAAACCCCCTCCTTCTGCTGACTGGTGGGAACCTATACAATCAGCCAATAAAGTCAGAAGAGCCAAGAATGTCTGTTACCTCTGGATTAATAAAGCAATGAAACGTTACGACACTGCGACACATCGGATGCCAACACACAACCCTGGAACCCGGCTGTTTGAGGACCGTATCAATCAGTGGCAGGTCGGTCCGAGTGTGTATGTGTGTGTTAATCAGAATTAAAATCTACAATCACTCATCTAGCGCTCAGTGCAGTCGTTCAGCGGTCTGCACTGCAGCCCTCCGTCCTTTAGCTTTCTCCCTAATAAAGAACGAAGCAGGCTGCTTATCAAACTCCCAGACGTGCAATAACTCAGCTTGTCACGCACACGCCGAGACATGTAATATCTATGTCACGTGGGCAGATAGATTTGACAGTGTGTGCAAGGACGGGCAATAATAAGTGGCGATGGCGAAATACTGATAAATATATGGATCAAGGGATTCCAGCGGATTTCTCCTGAAGTGACACAACGTTGGAGAGGAAGTTTTATTCCCGGTCAGATGGATCGCTTTAATCGGTGTGTGGTAAATAGGAAAATGCCACCGAGAAGGAATGTGGATGGGTGTGGATATGGCTCAACTCCTGAAGCCTTGTTTACTTTATTTATTCCCACAAACCTCCATCTTTATTCATACGTTAGTTCCTCAGCCACTGGGGGCTGTGGGCGTGCACATGAGTTTGCGTGTGCGCGTGTAGCGGGTTGTTTACGTGTTTTTTGTGCCTGTGTACGTTGGGGCAGGCGCCAGCAATATTCTCTACTTTGAATCCATTTTATTTAAAGATCAAACAGGAGGCTGGTGATTAATCTTTCTTCCCAGCGCTTTCTTTCATCTCCTTAGGAAAGAAAGGAGAGATTGGAGGAGAGAAAAGAGGAAGGGTCCGCCTCCCAAACAGACCAGGAATAACCTCCTCTTCTCTGCAGCATGCACACTGCTCTCCTCCTCCTCTTTCTCCTCCTCCTCCTCAGAGGCTGAGAACACCTCCCTGAGGACCTGAACCAGAGAACGCCTCTCTCTGGAGGACACAGCTGCAGCAGCCAAGGCTCTTGGGAGGGTTGGTTGGTTCTTCACCTCTAATTTACTGTGTCATTAATTTTGCCTGTTTATATTTGCAATATCGGAAAGAAAATTACTATCGCTATTCTCAGGAAGAAGCTATTCACTTTGTAATCAGGCCATTAA